CGTGTTTGAAGCTCATTAGTCCGCTTGACAAAGTTGTATGGCCAGTTCTTGCCAACCTGGCCGGCACCGCGCTCATTTAGCAGCTTATTGGCCATATCTTGTACAGCGCTCAGCCGCGGTGCAAACCCTCTCGAATCCAGGTCAATTATATGTTAAATAACAACTAATTCCTCCAGCTTTGTAAGCTTCTTTGAATTGGGCTCGCAATCGCGTCGGGCGGTTGTTCCGGCGCGTCGTCGTCGTAGGGTTGTTCGGGGGACGTTGTATGTTGCAACAGCGCGTCGCACGCTCTTAAACTGCTTTTTATCGATTGCTGAGATAGCTATGCATATCTGGCCTTCTTTTTAAATTGATTGCGTATTGCGTTGTTGAGGCATGGTGGTTGAAAGTTAACGGAGCGCGTTCCGGTGATGAGGTGGGCCACTCGCTTGGGTGGGCCGCTCGCTTGTGGAGTACGTTACTATTTTAGCTAAAGTATACCTAAGATTATATTATATCTCGCCGTGTTAGTTATATCTATGCTAATAGTTTCTCTATATTTATTAATCTGTATAACACCTAGTTAAGTTTCTATAGTTACTTTTCCGCTACTATATTGCATAGGGGTACTATCTACTATATATAGCCTATAGGGTCTGTTTTTCTATTGCTAAGGAATCCGGTTTTTCCTAATAAAGTTATAGGATATAAAATTTCCTTACGCGCTACTATCTAGCAGTGCCTTTGCAGGATTCCTACTAATTTTAACTAATAGAATTATATATCTATAGTTCTGGATAGGAATAGAGTTAAGCTATATTGCTAGGCTTCTTTTTTTCTCTATAATATGGGCTTTTCCCACTAAAGTGGCGATAGTTGCGGTTTATATTCCTTTATCCGTGGCTGCTTTATAGGACCTTATTCTTAGCTGCTCTAGCTATCCTATTGCGTAAGCGCCTTTTTGTTTTTAGCTATTCTTATAGCTAATAGTTTATATATTTCTTCTTATAATATACTAGATATAAGTCCTAATAGTATATTCGCCAGTTTTTACCTTTTCTGCAGTCTATTAGGTACTAAGGGTTTAGAACTATAGTAGCTACTCCTATAAATTTATCCTTCTTGCCTATAATATAGTGTTCTATTTCTTTAGCCAATACTAGTTGTATAATAATATAGTATCTAGTTTAGTGTAGAAACTACCTTTAGTATTTCTTTTTAGTTATATACTTGCTACACTTATCCTTAATATATAATACCTAAGATATCTATCTATAGAATAGGTGGTTCTTATCTAACTATTAGTCCTTCCTATTATAAACGCCTATTTCGCTAATAGAGTGCAATACCCCGTATATTTTAGTTTCTATAGTAGTTCTATATAGTTCTAGCGGCTCTTGCACTAGTCTAATACTAAATTCCCTATTACTAGTCTACTTACTTAGTTTACAATCTTTATTACTATTATAGTACTTATTGCTGTATTCTATAGGCAACTTGTTATCTATTTCTTACTAGATATTAGTGCTCCTTTTTTTTAGCATAGCTAACCTTATATAGGTTTCGGTGGCGGTGGCTGTTGCTGTTGTCCCTGCGGTTACAGCTATTCTTACCCCCTCTTCCTTAACAAGTTATCCGGTAATTCTTTCTATTACTTATAGGAACCTGTAACTAGCTAGTTCTTTTAGCTCTGCGCCTGCTGTAGTATTTTTAGCCTTTTATACTTCTTAGCCTGCGTTAAGGCATATAAGAGTTGTTTTAGCGCTTTTTTTATATATAGCTAAGACCTTAATAACCTATAACTCTGTTTATAGTAACTTAGGTTCTATATTATTTTATAGCTTAGGTATATTAGTTTAGGGTTTAGATCGCGGTTTAATTATCTGGAACACCTTATCCGTTTCTAATAGGTAGTTAATTTCTATCTCCTTAGGTTTTATATTATAGTAGTCGCCTATAGGATTGCTATTATACTTTTTATTCCTTATTATAGCAATAGTGCGTACTCTTTTCGGCGCCGTCGGGTAGTATCCTGTTGTTTGTTTATCCGACTAATAGGTAAAGCAGTTGTTTTTATAGTACGCGGTCTATAATACAGAATTATAGCGGTCTATATTTACTTTTATTATAACTACTGCTATTTAATTGTTTCCCGGGCACTTATTAGTAAAGTGGCCGATCTCTCCGCATAATAGGCACGCTCCCTTATAGCATCTGTCTAGCCTTTTTTTATTAGTTATCGGATTTCCCTTAGAATTGTTGCGTTGTTTTATAATATTAATTTTTATGCAATCTCTATAGTTGCGGTTTATTACTTTTAGTTTTAGCCTTGCCAGCTAGGCGTAGGAATATAGTCCTTTCTTATCTGCCCGTTCTAGTTATTATTTATACTATTAACTATTAATTTATATAGCTATTTCCTTAAGTTTATAGAGTATTAGAGGCCTTTTACCTTATATAATTTTATTCTTAATATCTACTTTAAGACCTCTATAGTACTATACTCTTAGAGCTTTATTTCTCTATAATAGCTTAGACGCGATTTGCATAAATTCTAAAGTATAGCGGCTGGTTAAGCCCTTCTGCTTTAGAACAGCAATCTATTATTCCGCTGTCTATTCTTTATTGGTGTCTCCAAAAGTTATCCGGAGCGTAGCTTTAAAGTTCTTATAGTTGCTAAATATAATATTAGTTTCTAGTTTTTACTTATCCGCGTCGGTGTTGCTAAGCTAGTCTATAAGCATTAGGTTAAACTAGTTAAATACTTCTTTCTTTAAAAAGGTTGCTGCTATATAGACTTTATTAGATTTAAATATAAGACTGTTCTAATTTATGCGCAAGTATAGCCTTATCTGTATTATAGATGCTTATAAAGCTCCTCTGTTACTAGTAAACTCTTTAGGTTTATTTATTTTATAGCCTTTATAGCTAACTGCTCTGCTAGTTATAAGCTCTTTTTAGACAACCTAGAGATTCCCCTATAGGGCTAGAATCTTATTATCCTTAGTATTGCTAGCTTTTTCTAGTATTTATAGACGTGTAAGCAAGGCCTACATGCGTGTTACTACCTTAGTTATAGTTAGAGTTAGTCTAGTAGTTATACTACCTAAAGGGGTTAGTAGAGCTATTTTAATTAATTGTTTATATGCAACTCCTTTAATATAGCAGTATTTAAAGTATAATAGGTTATTTTTTCTATACTTTCTAAGTGTCTTACACTAAGGCAGGGTATAGAGCAAGTTATTATTAGGGTGCAATAGTTTTTAAAAGGTAAGGCAAGATTAATCTTAGGTATAAGACGGGGTTATTACTTTTAATAGGTAGTATTAAAGTTTTAAGTTAAATATAAGGTTCCTATCTATATATATGAGCGTTCTTATATATAAAAGCTCCGTCCTAAGAAACCTGTCTGCTCGTCCGGCTTACAGCCTCGAGCTCCTCGAGCTCTCTTGTGGCTCGCAGCCTCGAGCTCCTCGAACTATCACGTGACCTCGTTCCCATGATGTCCTATTCTTAGATTGTTCCCATCCACCAGCAGTCTGTAAGGGAATCTAAGATCCCTATACGTCCGACACGTGACCCTTTTAGTCCCGTGACCTAATCCTGCGTAATTAGCCTTATCTGCTTACTTATCTCCACGAGTGCCTCTGCGCTTAAGTGGTTTATATTAAAGGTTATAACAGTTCTATAGGTAAATACCCGTCTTTCTCTATCTACTAGCTATATTAGAAGAAGTTATAGCCTTCTTCTATGCCACCTAAAAGGTCCTAAAGAAGTCTCTTTTTATAAAGCGGGAGAATTCTTTATAATTTATTATAAACCGGTTTAATTTATTAGAATAGTAAATAGCTAAGGGGGCGAAGAAAGAAACGTTTAATAGCTGCAGGCGGTGTGTTAAATAAGGCGGGTATATAGCCAGGAGAATCCTGTTGCTAATACAGTAGTTAATAAACTTTATATTTATATAAAAGCCGTGGCTATTAATAAGCAACATTTTTTACTCTTTATTAGCTTTAGCCTTTATCTCTTAATTAAAGATCTTTAACTAAGTAAGGCCTAGGTTATTATTAGTCTATCCGGTTAGTATTAATATAAAAAAGCAGGCATATTTATCCGGATTAAAATCCGTAAGCTATATATCCTATATATTATTTGTTCTAGCTTAATAGATAAGTATTAGAGGAAGTGCCATATTATCTGTATAGATAGCTGCTACTACAGTAATCTACTTTCTATTGCTATCTTATATAATATAGCGCATCCTTCCTAACTTATAGGCAAGCTTGCTAAAAATTCTCTTCTTCTTAACTAATTTTCTAATAAGAAATCCTTTCTCATCTATATTATATGTATTTCCTAGCTGGATATTATATTAATCTCTCTTGCAACTAAGAAGCTTAAAGTAGAGGCTGTAGTAGAGGGCAGAATTAGCCCTTTTCCGTTCCTTATTAATAGGAAGAAGGTAGGCTGATTTGAGGTGTTTGGAATTTGAATGGACCCAGCGTGAAACCCAGTAGATTCCTGGCATTCTCCCAGCTAAATCCTGGGCGAGATTTCGTATCATTTGATGCGTAGGAGGCAAGCCTCTTTCGGAGAGGTTGTTGATGTATTTGATGAGAGCCTTAGTCTTGCCAGGAGAGAGGAGCTTTTGAGAATTGTAGGCCTCAGCCTTTGACTTCGTGATTCCTCGGTACCTCCGTGAGAGCGTGGTTCTGTTAATCCCATGCTTCTTTGCGACCTCAGTATACATCTTCTTCTCCATTAAATCAAGCTCCGCGAACGCAGCTTCCATTGCATCCATTTTCGAAGGAAATCTGTGTATTTTTGGTGGAGTTGTGCGGTGTTGAAGCTTGAGAGAAAAAGCGGTGAGGGGCCTCCGAGACCGTGCATGAGGTGGTAGCGTGCACGAGCCGGTCGCCACTTCTAGCGCTCACAGTTCTACGGTACGGCTACGTAAGCCTTCACACACAGAGTATATATACGGCGTACGTAGCCTAGATAGATGCTCATCCAATACATCACTTACCTCGTTCAATGCATTGTTTCACCTCCATCCTCAATGTCTCTTTCAAATGCTAGGATGGCAACCGGGAAAACTTCGGGTAGCCGCGCCTACGAAGTAAAACCTCTCCGCACTTCTCCTCCGCTTCCTCATCACCTACCCCTTTTCAACAACCATCAGATCGCAACCCGAATAGTATGGCGGAAGCGTCTCGCAAAAAGCTGCTGGACTCGCTCAAAGGGTAGGTCTCCGATGTGTTAGATCGGCATTTCGTGCTTGAGCAAAATCTGAAAATCCACCCGCTAATAGTGTCAAAGCTCCTTCGCATCAAGCAACTACTCTGATCTCATCATCACCTGCGGTAGCGACTCTTACAATGTCCACAAGATGATTGTTTGTTCTCGCTGCGACTTCTTCGCTCGGGCTGTCCGATTCTCTGTTGGGAAGGTATGCTTGCTCGATATTATTATGCCGCCTGTGCGGTCATGCGACTTTACGAACCGGCATCGTAGAATGCGGAGGGAATGTTGCAGCGCTCGGCTCATACCTCTTTTCTCTTTAACCTAGTGGTCTCGCACTAGGACTCTAGGATCGATACCTGTTTCCTTACAAGCGTACTTTGAGGTGCAATGGAGCTAATATATTTGCAGGAAGCCCACGATGGAAAGATCGACCTCCCAGAGGATGAGCCGGCCATTGTCAAGCTGCTGATGCAGTATCTCTACGAGGGTGAATACGATCCGGCCTTGCCTCCTGAGGGTGGCTTGCAGGTTTCAGTAGTCGCAGCTACCACTTCTCCCGAGACCGTGCAGGGGATAGCACAGAAGCCGACTATGGAATTTCCACACAGTTGCTCCACATTTCCCTACCATAGATGCTGCTCTACTGTCTGCCCTCATCATACCTGTGGCATTCATTGTGGTGCAAACTGCCGCGACTTTACTTGCAAGATATGCAGCCCCCCATTACCTCCTCTCTACGGTACTGCCGACCAGCTCCTCACCCACGCCAAGATGTACGAGATTGGGGAAAAGTACGATGTTATTGGCCTGAAGGACCTATCTCAAGAGAAATTCAGTCGCACTTGCGGACTCTTCTGGAACGACCCCAAGTTTCCAGTCGCCGCCCATCATGCCTTCTCCACCACACCGGATCACGACAAGGGTCTGAGGGATCTCGTCTTCAAGACCTTATCTGACCACCTGGAGCTCATTGATAAACCGGAGATCGAAGCTGTCTTGACGGAGTTTAATGGCCTTGCGTTCGGACTCCTAAAGGAGAAGAAGCAGCAAGGTTGGCGCTAGGCCCGTTGCTGAATCCATGGTGCTGCCTAGATGCTATGGCATGGTAAGTGAATCTAGCCAGCAGCTCGGAGGATGTCATAGGGTTTTCCGGCAACTGCAGTGGGTGAAGCACTACCTCTCACGACGCGTCACGGTTGACATGCAGGCTGTCATCTGGGCCAGTTTGAGCTGACATCTCATCACTCCAGCCAACTCTATCCCACTGCTCCTCTGTATACCAGTACAAATTTTCAGAATTAGGGCTGATAAAGATGCGTCATAACTGTATGCTATGAGGTGCTAATCCTGGTATGTACCGACTCTGATCATAGGGACTAGTACGAAGGGTATCAGTGCCACGGTCCAAAGAATTCCATGGGTGGCTGTATGCGCTGGGCGATGGTGGGAGCGCGAGGATCGTGAGAGCGCGAGGATTGTGCGAACTCTTGGCGTACGCTTTACCTCCCTTAGACTAGCATATGGCAGTATCGCTCATCGATTGAGACCCTCAGCGACCACCCATTGCAATAGATTTTACCTCTGGGGTGAGTGCGTACTAATTGCTTATCACTATTGGGCCTTACTCTGGCTCGCGTTCCGTATACTAGCCAGTGTCACCGGCTCTAGTCATCGTCGCTGCTCGACCTTTTCGCTCTTCCAACCGCACCACCCTCTTCGATCAGCACACCAACGTGCCGGACCTCGCCCGAACCATAATCTATCTCCGCCATGGAACCACCACGGGGAAGCTCCTTGCAACCTATCCAATATTGTCATCTTGACAGCTCACAGAACGAAATACGTCTGCTCTCCTTCGAAAGCACTCCGTCACATGCCCTGCTGCGGCTTAGTCTATCCTATGTATCTCTAAACAACTGGAAGCTTAAATACCTCTCCTTTTGCAACCAGATTAAGCCGACCTTAAGTAGCTCCGAGCTCTGCGAAGCCTGGAAAGAGCGGCTTAAGTTTACGCTTGCTACGCCTAAGCGCGATATCTACAATACTGTTGCAAGGTTTAACTGGGGTGACTATATCTGCCTAAGCTATATGTGGGGAGACTGTGCGGAAGAGAAGGCTATTGTTTTAGTGGATAGTATTGCCACTAGCGTAAGCAAGCGTCTAGAGGCGGCTCTGCGGGACCTGCAATTAAGCTTTAAGTGCGACGTTGGTATAAAAGTTTAGGTGGACGCCCTGTGCATTAACCAGGCCGATGTTGTTGACCGCAGTGCCCATGTCCTGCGCGTGAAGGATATATTCAGTTGGGCATTTTCTGTAACAGCCTGGACTAAGGGAGGTGATAACTTGCTGGGTCTTAGCCCACCGGGCGAATAACTTCTTCTCTGCAAAGTAGTCTTTAGCCAATACGGGAGACAGGTTCTAGAAGAGCTTCTTAGGGTGAGACAGCGTGACTAGGGAGTGGTGGACGACAAGGACGATTAGATAATGAAGTTGGTGGAGGACGTTGAAGTGCTTGTCTTTGATGAATATTACTGGGCAGATTCCGATAATAAAGATAACTTCGGCTTTGGCAGGCTGCATTTACGCGACTTGGTTCGCGTAGAACTGTAGCAGATATTTAAAGAAGAATACTAGTCGCGACTGTAGATCATCCAGGAGCTTGCGGTTAGCTCTATAACGTCGACGGTGCACTAGGGAGAATCGGAGTTCCGCTTGTTAACCCTGCGGGCAATCGCAGATATTCTTCTTACTTATTCCGAATCTGAACGGGCGTTGAACTCGGAAATCTGGAAGGAAATCAAGCCAGGATTGGACCTCTTGGCATTCAGCACTTTGTGGGATAAATTAGAGACTGCGTCGGGTGATACAGAACAGTTGTTGGACAATGCTTCCATTCGGGAGCTGAACCTCCTTGCAGCTCGTGCCAGTTGCTCGCTTTTATATGACAAGATCTACGCGTTGCTTGGGCTGTTTCCATCGTCTGTGTTAAGTATTGTGACGATTGACTACAGTCGAAGCAATAAATTCTTAGATAAGATAAGAAAACAGCTAGCTCCCGCCCCCGCATTAATAACCAGGACAAGCCGGACCGACCTTATTCTTCTTAGCTAAGCTTTACTAGTAATAATTAACCGCCCGCTTCTAATAACAGCAGTAACCGCCCTTCTATTTCCAGCAACAGCAATAGCAATAGTGCTAAGCCTACCCCTTTCTTTAGATAGCGTAACTCTAACTATACTAATATAAAGATAACTCCTATATAGAAGGCCCGCCGCAACTGCCTTTATACTAACTAGAAATGCTTTAAGTATAAATAACTAGGCCACTATGCTGTTAACTGCCCGCTTACGGATTAAGAAGTTAGCGCTATACAGGACACTATTTCTAATTTAGAAACTGCGCTAGAATTTAAGAAAATTAATAAGCCGGAAGCTGATATTAGCTCCAACTCTAATAGCTCTAGCAGTTTAGAAAACTAGGCACCCTTAATAATAGCCGCCGTTAAGAGTTATAAGTATATAAGAGTAAAAAGGATAACAGAAAGCACTTTTAGGAACTGCTAAATAGATAGGGAACTATTTAAAGAGATAAAACTATTCTTTTTAGGAAAGCAGAATTCTTAAACTTTTAAGTAGCAGAAATAAAAGCATTCCTAGACTGCGGGGCTTTCTATAACTTTATCTTATATAAACTGGCGCACTAACTAAACCTAAATATCTAACCCCTAAAAAAGAAAAAAAAAGTATACTCTTACTAAGGTGCCGACGGACCTAAGAAGTAGATAACAGAATACGCTAAGTTTCCCTTACAAATAGGGAAGCACTTTAAAATCCTCCGCTGCTATATAGTACGCAGCTGCGGGTGTTATAAGCTTATTTCAGGCTACTATTAGTTTAAGATCTACAACTGTGCATTATAAGTAGGATAAGGAAAAGTCTTTTTTAATAGCGCTTACTATCTGCAGCACTGTAATATTACTTGCTAAAAAGTAATAGTTAAGGCCCTGCCTGTAATATAAACCTTAGGAATACTAAAAGCATAGACCGGCCTACTCTTACAACCTGGATATATTTCTAAAACTTTTTCAGCACCTATAATAAAGAACGCACGCAAGAGGCTGCAGGAAGCCGTAAAATAATACTTTCCTAGCCCGGTTGTAGACCTATAATTAAATAATATACTAGGCAGAAAGAACAGGGTAAAATAGCTAAAACCTACTTTTTTACCCGCGATATGCTGCCAGAAGTCTCTATAAACGGGATTAAGGTTAGCAAAATAATAGAGGAAGATTTCCGCAAGTTTATAAATCCTAAGAAGGACGCCGCTATTAAAGCTAAGATGCCGGAGCTTTATAGCGCCTGGAAGGACCTCTATTACCGCCCCTTTTCTAATATACTACCTAAGTATACTAGTAGAGATTATAATATTAAGATTAAGGAAGGAGCTAAACTCCCTTTAAGGAAACTGTACCTAATATCCTAAATAGAACTTAAAGCTATCTAAAAGTATATTAATAATATAATAGTAAAGGGGTTTATTAAACCCGCCCTAGGGGACGTAAGTTCCCTGTTACTAGTTATATAGAAACCCGGAGAAGGTATATATATTTGCGTCGACTACTAAGAACTAAATAATGCTACTGTTAAGGACTAATACCCTTTACCCCTTATCTAAAAAACCTTAGCTAGGCTATCTAAGGCTAAGATCTTTATAAAAATTAATATTATTACAGTATTTAATTGCGTTTAAATAAAGCCGGGTATAGAATAGTTAACAGCCTTTTCTACTTACTATAGAACTTACTAATACCGCGTAATACCTTTTAGGCTGTATAATGCACCTGTAACCTTCCAACACTTTATTAATACTGCTCTTTATAAGTATCTTAATAAGTTTATTACTGTATACTTAGATAATATCCTAGTATATAGTAAAAGTATTAAAGAATACCCTGCTTATATAAAAAGTATTCTTACTTAACTATATAATAAAGGACTATACGCCGATATTAATAAGAGCGAGTTTTATATAACTAAAGTAAAGTTCCTTAGTCTAATAATCTCTATAAATGGGATTAAGATAGACCTAGTTAAGCTAGAAGCTATCCGCAACTAGCAGCTACACTATACTGTTACCGGACTTCTAGAATTCCTAGGTTTTACAGGATTCTACCAACAGTTTATTGCAGGATACTCCGCTATTGTATATTCCTTAACTAATACTATAAAGGACACAGGCTATTCTAAGGGAAAACTAACTAAGGTCTAAGTTATACCGGAATTCTAAGCTGCTTTTTAACAACTTAAGGATGCCTTTAAGGAAAACTAGATTCTTATTACTTTTAACCCTAATAAAGATATATATATATTTTGCAATAGCTCCGGATAGGCAGTAGGAGGCACCCTTAAGCAGAAGGGTTTAGATAGCAGATTATACCCTATAGCCTTTTTTTAAAGAAATACACCCTAGTAAAATCTAACTATAATATCTATAACTAGGAACTTATAGCTATTATATAAGCATTTAAGGAATTCTAACCGGAACTAATAAGCATTAACCCTAAAAACATAATTTAAGTTATAACTAACTATAAGAACTTAGAGTCTTTTATAACTACTAAGGTTCTTAGCCGCCGCCAGGCTAAATAGAGCCTTTTCCTTTTTAAGTTTAACTTTAAAATTATTTATCGGCCAAGAAAGGAAAATATTAAAGCAGACGCCCTTTCTAGGCGTAAATAGGATATACCTATTAGAAAGGATAATAATAGGCTTACTATTAACTACTAAGTAATCCTAAAGCCTTAGAATCTTTTAGATAGAATAAAACCTACTGCATTAAAGAAGTCTATTATTACTGCTCTTACTACTTTATCTATAGGGGCAGAAGATAACTAAATTAACAACTATATTTCTAATAATATAGTTAACACTATACGCCTTTACCTTATAAAGAAGGAAAAGGACAGTAATAAGTTTAACAATAATTTAGAGGAAGCTATTAGCTAAAAACTAGAATTAATTAGACCTTTAGACCCTAATAGAACCCTAACTTCTAATCTAATA